GAGGCCTGCTGGGGGCCCAGCACAGTGAGGGCGACGCGCAGATTCAAATTAGACCTCGCCATCCCTGGGGGGGCTGCGATCTGTGAAACTGTCGCCATTTTCGAGGCCTGCTGGGGGGCTCAGCACAATGAGGGCGACGCGCAGATTCAAGTTAGACCTCGCCATCCCTGGGGGGCTGCGATCTGTGAAACTGTCGCCATTTTCGAGGCCTGCTGGGGGGCCCAGCACAGTGAGGGCACGGGCAGATTCAAATTAGACCTCGCCATCCCTGGGGGGCTGCGATCTGTGAAACTGTCGCCATTTTCGAGGCCTGCTGGGGGGCCCAGCACAGTGAGGGCCACGCGCGGATTCAAATTAGACCTCGCCATCCCTGGGGGGCTGCGATCTGTGAAACTGTCGCCATTTTCGAGGCCTGCTGGGGGGCCCAGCACAGTGAGGGCCACGGGCAGATTCAAATAGACCTCGCCATCCCTGGGGGGCTGCGATCTGTGAAACTGTCGCCACTTTCGAGGCCTGCTGGGGGGCCCAGCACAGTGACGCCACGGGCAGATTCAAATGAGACCTCGCCATCCCTGGGGGGGTGCGATCTGTGAAACTGTCGCCATTTTCGAGGCCTGCTGGGGGGCCCAGCACAGTGAGGGCCACGCGCAGATTCAAATTAGACCTCGCCATCTCTGGGGGGGCTGCGATCTGTGAAACTGTCGCCACTTTCGAGGCCTGCTGGGGGGCCCTGCACAGTTACGCCACGGGCATATTCAAACGAGACCTCGCCATCCCTTGGGGGGCTGCGATCTGTGAAACTGTCGCCACTTTCGAGGCCTGCTGGGGGGCCCAGCACAGTGACGCCACGGGCAGATTCAAATTAGACCTCGCCATCCCTGGGGGGGCTGCGATCTGTGAAACTGTCGCCACTTTCGAGGCCTGCTGGGGGGCCCAGCACAGTGAGGGCCACGGGCAGATTCAAATTAGACCTCGCCATCCCTGGGGGGCTGCGATCTGTGAAACTGCCGCCACTTTCGAGGCCTGCTGGGGGGCCCAGCACAGTGAGGGCCACGCGCGGATTCAAATTAGACCTCGCCATCCTGGGGGGGCTGCGATCTGTGAAACTGTCGCCACTTTCGAGGCCTGCTGGGGGGCCCTGCACAGTTACGCCACGGGCATATTCAAACGAGACCTCGCCATCCCCTGGGAGGCTGCGATCTGTGAAACTGTCGCCACTTTCGAAGCCTGCTGGGGGGCCCAGCGCAGTGACGCCACGGGCAGATTCAAATGAGACCTCGCCATCCCCTGGAGGCTGCGATCTGTGAAACTGTCGCCACTTTCGAGGCCTGCTGGGGGGCCCAGCACAGTGACGCCACGCGCGGACTCAAATTAGACCTCGCCATCCCTGGGGGGCTGCGATCTGTGAAACTGTCGCCACTTTCGAGGCCTGCTGTGATCCCCGTTTTCGAAGTGGCTAGGAGTGCTCAGGAATTGTAACTCATCAGCTTTATCAAGCCCTTTTCCTGTAGCCAGTGTCCTGCGAGTCTCCCGAATTCCGTCTGCAGACATATGTAACCCTCGCTCCGTCATCGCCCCCTTATAAAGTATCCTAAACTATTTGCGCCCCGCTTTTGCGCAGGGGTTGGGTACGTCGCCAGGGTATTTTTTTTGTGGTGGGGGGGTCCCCCCCCGGTTCGAAACGTGCCGCCGGCTGTTCCCAAGACAAGCGCTCGTGAAGCGCGCTCCCTCAGACCTCGCCATCCCTGGGGGGCTGCGATCTGCGAGACTGTCGCCACTTTCGAGGGCTGCTGGGGGGTGCGCGGAGTGACGTTTTTCGCGGACCACCAGGAGACCTCGCCGTCCCTGGGAGGCTGCGATCTGCGACACCGTCGCCACTTTCGAGGGCTGCTGGGGGGTGCAGCGGAGTGGCGTCTTACGTGGACAACCAGCCTTGACCTTGTTCTCCAGGCTGGACAACGTCCTGATTATACGAGACCCCAGCATGGATTTCCTTGCCCGCGGGTCGCCCGCAGACCTGGCGGCGCGCCTGTGAGCATTTAGCCCCCGCGCTGAAAAGTGCAGGAGGGAAACAGAGAAGTTAGCGGGCGAGCTAAGCCTCGCTCGCATCTTGCGCTAGCTACAAACAGGTTTGATCCTTTCGAGCGCCGCGGCGACATGGCGCAGGCAGCGCTGCATCTTTAGCATATTACATATTACCCACAAAATCAACATTCTCCTGCCTCCTCTCGTCAGTTTCGTCGTCGTCGTCCTCTGCCCCCTGCCACCGTCTCTTTGCTGCTGCCTCGCTGACGGTTCGGCCCCCCCCCCCCCCGCGTCCTTCTCCTGCCTTTCGTTCTCGCCCCCATGTCCTCCTCAAGCCTGGGCCCTCGCTCCTTGTCCTGTGAATCGTGCCACGTGAGCGTGTCCCACTTAGCTTGTGTAACATCGAACGGCGCCTGCACTATCATTGTGCTGGCAAGTTTGGGCCTAGTCTTCTTGTCACTTGATGCACATGAGTTGGGTCTGTCATGTGGTAATTGCCTCTTGGGGCCCTCTTTGGAGGCCTCTTGGAGGCCTTATGGGGCGTCTTGGAGGCTTCTTCGGTCATCTTGAGGCCACCTTGGGCGTCAGTGGACTCGGGGCCCTCTTCTTGGTCTTGGGGGCCTCTTGGGTCGTCATGGAAGCTTTGGGGAGCTTCAGGGAGGCGCCATGGCTGCCCAGGGACCCCCCTGGGAATAGGGGTGGTGCAGTCGGCTGGGTGTGACCGGGAGGATGGGGGGGTCACCCTGCTGGGCAGCCTTTTCCTCTACGCCTCAATGTGCAGCAGATACGGTGGCGGATTGGAGCCTTTTGGCGGCTTCCATGTGCAATCTTGGGGCACTGTTGGGGCCATTTTGGGGCCTTGCTGGGACCCTCTTGGGGCTGTCTTGGGGTCCCCTTGAGGACCTCCTGGGGCCCTGGGTCCCTGGGGAGCCTTTTGGCGCCATGTTGGATGACATCGATCAACGCAAAGGGGGTCCTTAATAACGCCTGCCCCTCCTGAGCACCCAACGTCGCCTCTCAGGGCCATCTTGGGGCCCTCTTGGGGCACTCTTTAGCGCTCTGCGGCCGTCTTGGGCCATCTTGGGCCTCCTTTTGGGCCCTCAGGGCCAATTTGGCGCCTTCTTGAGGCCTTAAAGCCGATCGAAGACGGAAAGGCGAGACTGCACAAGCTAATGACTTTCCTCAGGTTGTGGATGGGTTTTGACCTCCTGGGGGCCTCCTTGGGGAGCTCCGTGGGCACTCGCAGCCGTCTTGGAGATGTCTTTGGGCCTCGTAGAGGCATAGTGGTGGCCATTTGGAGCCAACTTGGGAGTACCTTGAGCCATCTTGGCCATCTTGGGCTCTCTGCGGCCATCTTGGAGCCATCTTTTCTTCATGTTGGCCTAAAAGCCTGGATGCCCCGCGACATGTCAAAATCCTTGAATCATCATTGGGCTTTCAATGATTTTGGCTCTGAGCGAAGAGAGGTTTCTAGATTAGCTTGGCACCTTGACAGCCCCCAAAGTTGACTCTTGGGGCCCTCTTGGAGCCCTCTTGAAGCCCTCTTGGGGCACTCTTAAGTTCTCTTGGTGCAGTCTTGGGGCCATCTTGGGCCCCTTTTGGCGCCCTCTTGGACCATTTTGCAGCCATCTTGAGGCTTCCAAAGCCCATCGGACATGGCAAGGCGGTAATGCAATACACATTGATTTACCTTGGGTTTTGGGTAGATCTTCGCCTCTTGAAGGCGTCCTGGGTGGCTCCAAGGCCACGCGGACCTGCCCTGGAGCTGTCTTGGAGCCTCTTGGAGCAAAGTCGGATACCATCTTGAGCCATCCTGAGGTATCTCGGGCCATCTCGGAGGCCATCTCGGGCTCTCTGCGGCCCTCTTGGAGCCCTCTCTTCGTCGGGAGGCCCACAGGATTCGAGGAGCCCCGACAGGAGGCCGCCTCGGAGCTCCCGCCAGGGCAGGACGGAAGCCCCCCCCCCCACGCACAGGGATAGCACGCAGTCGCCAGCGAGGCGGCGGCCTCGCGACGCGGGGAGGCGTCGTGGCAGAGCTTCCGCCTCCCTTCTCCCCTTGTCTGCCTCTTCTGCTCCTCCTCCTCCTCCTCCTCCTCCTCCTCCTCCTCCTCCTCCTTCCCCGCGGCCCAGGGTTTTCGTCCTCGCACACATGGGCACACACCCACGGGAGCCCATGAGCGTCTGTCAGCGTGCGCGGCGAAAAAGAGCCCGCCGCAGCCGCGCGAGGTCTGGGACCGGAGAGGGTGGGTCCTTTTCGTTTTCTCTTCACCTTACCAGCCCTGTGGGTCCTCCTCCTGGGTTTTGTTGGGTCCTCCTCCTTTTTGTTTTTGTTGGGTCCTCCTCCTCCTGGGTTTTTCTTTTTTTGTTTTTGTTGGGTCCTCCTCCTCCTCCTTCCCCGTGCCAGCCCTCTGCTGAGGGCTGGGAGGCGAGAGCGCGCCTGCGACCCTCCTGGCTGCTGTCCATGCTGCCACTGCGCAAGCATCAGGAGGGGAAAAAACACAGACACAATTAATCGTCGACCCCCAAGAAAATATGGAAAAATTTGGGAGTTGGGCGGGAAGACAAAAACCCAGAAAATATAAGAAACTATGGGGCATCATTTTATTTGTGTATCTATTTGTGTGTCCTTGTGCCCCTTGAAAGCAGGTGAACCGTGGCCTGAGCAGGTGAAGCATGGCAGCCGCAGTTCCCTGGCTTGTGGGTGGAGTTGAGCTGGCTTTCGACGAGCTGCCCCTGCGGCCCATGCGGGAGCAGTGAACCAAGACCTGAGCAGGGGAACCAAGGCACCGCCGCCTCGGGCGTCTCCAGTCCTGAGGCTTGCGCCGATGATGACTCCAGACCTCCTCCTCGCCCCCCTCCTCCTCCTCCTCCTCCTTCTCCTCCTCCTCCTCCTCCTCCTCCTTCTCCTCCTCCTCCTCCTCTTCCTCGTTCCCCGCACCCTGCCCCCCCCACTTCTCGCCTCCGCCTGCCCGCAGGAGGAGTGCGCGGCCGCCACCCCTCGCCGCGCGCACAGCTTCAGCCACCGCGCCGCCGCCCACGACGCGGTGCAGGGCGGCGCCCACCCTGGCGCCGCGGGGCGCGGCGGCGCTGCGTCGGGTGACGCTGGCCGACAGGAAGTGCTGGGGTGGCCCCGGGGTGGGGCCAACCCTCAAGGGAGGGGAAGGCCGATCCTGTCCCACGGGGCAGGATCGCTCTCGGATCCGGGCGTCGCGGTTCGCCCCCAGTCTCGCGCTGGGCTTGTTCGCCCAGTTTCGGGCCCAGGGGCTCTCGCGGATCGTTGTGGCTCGAGAGAAGCCGCGGAAAGGCTTGTTTGGCGATGTTGCGTGTCTTTCGGGACGATGGATCTCAGGGCGTTGCTGGTGCGCCCTCTTCGGCTTCGCTGGGAAGGTGTGTGTGTGTGTGTGTGTGTGTTTGTATGACTGTGTGTGTGTGTGCGTGCGTGCGTGCGTGTGTGTGTGTGTGTGTGTGTGTGTTTGTGTGTGTGTGTGTGTGTGCGTCTGCCCGACCAGGAGCGGTGCCGGCTGGTGTAGACATGTCCGATGTGCTATTTTTCCCATGCGAGATACCTGGAAAGCCCGGTCGACCCTTCCCAGATCTGAATCCTGGGCATTCTGCACGGACCTGGGGCCCGGCGAGGTCCCCTGGGAGGCCGACCACCTCCTTCTTCATTTTGAGCACGTTGGAGGTTTGGTCTGGGGGTCGTCAGGCGACCATCCCTGGTTCTTGGCCGTCGTTCCCTATCTGGACCACCAGTGGATCGCCCCGTGCACTTCTGGCTGGCTGGGAGGACGCTGGCGGCGCCGGCGGCGCCTCTGGGGGCAGGCTCCAAGACGTCTTGTTGACATCCCCGCTGGCTTTCCTTCTCTAAGGGCTTGGCGACTCTTACCCAAACGACTTGCAAGGATCAGGCCACATATGTCGAGGCATTTTTTTGATTGAAGCAATCCTCACATATCGGGGTACATACAGAGATATCTATATACAATGGGAGAACTCGGGGCAGCTCCAGCGCGAGTCGGCTGAAAGCAGAAGTCGTTCAGCCCTTAATGATCCTCCCTCTCCGTCCCCCAAAGATCCCTCCTGCAAGCAAAATCATGAACATCGATTTGCAGAGGTCCGAGAGGGTTTCTCAGCCGAGGTGGATGAGGAGGGTGACGTGAACGAGGACGAGGACGAGGACGACGAGGAGGAGGAGGAGGAGGAGGAGAAGGAGGAGGAGGAGGAGGAGGAGGAGGAGGAGGAGGAGGAGGGGGGCGAGGAGGAGGAGGAGGAGGAGGGGGAGGGGGAGGGGAGGGGGAGGGGGAGAGGAGGAGACGAGGAGGAGGAGGAGGAGGAGGAGGAGGGGAGGAGGAGGGGAGGAGGAGGAGGAGGAGGAGGAGGAGGAGGAGGAGAGGAGGAAAGGAGGAGGAGGAGGAGGAGGAAGAGGAGGAGAGGAGGAGGAGGAGAGAGGAGGAGGGGGAGAGAAGCGGGGATTGTGGAGCCCCTCGGGGTCGAGGGCGCGCGCGAGAGAGTTTTACACTGAGTCGGCGCGTGCGTCTTTGAATGTTCTTCGTGCTCTGTGGCGTCCTCCTCTCCCTCCTCCTCCTCCTCCTCCTCCGCCTCCTCCTCCTCCTCGTCCTCCTCCTCCTCCTCCTCCTCCTCCTCCCCCTCATGCTAGTTTTGTTGTTGTTGTTGTTGTTGTTGTTGTTGTTGTTGTTGTTGTTGTTGTTGTTGTTGTTGAACATTATTTGTTCTAAAGAATAATTATTGTTGGGACCCCTGGTGCGCGGCCCCCTCGCCGCGCCTAGGCCGCAGCCACATTTTCATCATTTTCGTGAGGAAGTCTCACGCAAAACGTGGGTGTCCGGATCCGGTTGTTTTGTTGTCCCCCGTTTTCCCTTGCAAAAAATAAGGCAAAGTGGACATTTCTTGTTCTAACATAACCAAACTTCAAGAATCCCTTGCAAAAAATAAGGTAAAGTGGACATTCGCGCGCGCAAGACGAAATCCTTCCAAAACCTTAGTGTTCGTAGCGATTTTAACATAAAAACATCAAAAAACCAATGGTTTTTCAAAAAAAAAGTGTCAAAATTTCATCCCGCGCGCTCTTGCGGATTTGTAGGAAACCCAACACTTTTTAAACATTTCTGTCAAACGGGCTTTTGCGAGCAACTTTTTCACGTGCTTCGAACTTCTCCAACAACGGTTGCGCACCTGCCAGGGCCATCATCCCTGTCAAATAATACCATGCGGGACACATTCGTTTTTTCTTCGCGCGCGCACGCCGAAATCTTCAAAAACCATTGGGTTTCTTAGGAATTTTAGCACCGCGCAACATAAAATCATACGAATCGCACCGTAGGTCCTCGAAAAACATCTGTACGAATTTTCAAAATTTCTACCCGCGCGCGCTGTCCGAATCCTAAAAAACCAATGGTTTTTCACGTTACCACCAAAAACCAGTACAGGTGTCCAGTGTTGGAACAGGGGGAAAAGTCGTATACTAAGCTAGCGTCCAGAAAATGTTACCACAACAAGTCACTGTACCCATGCGCCAGTGTAGTAGCCACGGTCGTCCGCAGGCCACGAAGTGAAGTGTCCGAACGTCATAGGGCGGGAAGCTGGGTGTGGGTGGTGGCGAAGAGTCGTTTGGAAATGTGGTAGAGCTTGAACCGGCCCCCCCACAAAGTGGGGGTATTGCCCGCCTCCTATGAAAACCCTGGCACTGGTGAGAACGGAGTGTCCCCACGTGCTAGTAATTGTTGTTGTTGTTGTTGTTGTTGTTGCTGTTGTTGTTGTTGTTGTTGTTGTGGTTGTGGTTGTGGTTGTTGTTGTGGTTGTTATTGTTGTTGTTGTTGTTGTTGTTGTGGTTGTTGTTGTTGTTGTTGTTGTTGTTGGTGTTGTTGTTGTTGTTGTTGTTGTTTTTTGTTGTTATTGTTGTTGTTATTGTTGTTGTTGTTGTGTTTGTGGTTGTCGTCGTTGCTGTTGTTGTTGTTGTGGTTGTTGTTGTTGTTGTTGTGGTTGTTGTTGTTGTTATTGCTGTTGTTATTACTGTTGCTGCTGCTGCTGTTGTTGCTGCTGTTGTTGTCGTTGTTGTTCTTGTTCTTGTTATTGTTGTTGTTGCTGTTATTGTTGTTGTTGTTGCTGCTGGTGTTGTTGTTGTTATTGATGTTATTGTTGTTGTTGTTGTGGTTGTTGTTGTTGTTGCTGTTGTTGTTGTTGATGTTGTTGGTGTTGTTGTTGTTGTTGTTGTTGTTATTGTTGTCGTTGTTGTTGTTGTTGTTGTTGTTGTTGTTGTTGTTGTTGTTGTTGTTGTTGTTGTTGTTGTGTGTGTGTGTGTCCTTCCCCCGAAAACAACGGGGGTTTGGGTGTCGTTTTTTTGGAGTGAGTGGGTTGGTGGATGGCGTGAGGAGGAATAAACACAACAACAATCCTCATCCCTCCTCCTGCTCCTGCTCCTCGTCGTTCTCCTCCTCCTCAGAAGATTTTGTTGTTTGTTTCCCCCCGCCAGGATCTGGGTGGTGACATTTTTTTTCGGGGGGGGGTTGGGGCGAGAGAAAGAAAAACGCGTCCTCCTTCTCCTCCACCTCCTATCCCCTTCTAAGCTCCGCCGGCCCGCCTGCGAAGTCCCCCTGCTAGCCCCAGCTGGGCCCTGTTAAGCCATGGTGGGCGCTGCCAGCCCCTGCCAAGCACTGGTGAGCCCAGCCAGATCCTGCGAAGCCCTGCTGGGCCCCTGCTATGACCTGCTCGGCCCTGGTAAGCACCCATGTTAAGCCTTGCTAAGCCTTTCGGAACCCTGCAAAGCCCTGCTGCTAAGTCGCGCTGGGCCCTGCCATCGCCCTACTATGTCACAATATGCACCGCTAAGCTCTGCGCAGATTTCCTAACCCATGCTAAGCTGTGCGAAGCCCTGCTAGGCCCATGTATGCAATGCTAGCTCCTGCTAGGCACTGCTAAGACGCGCCATGCCCTGGTAAGCCTTGCAAAGCCCTGCGAAACTTTGTTAATTCCTGCGCAGCCTTGCGGCGCCCGCCTGGGCCCTGTTCCGCCTTTCTGCGCTCTGCTATGTCTTCCTAGGTTGGAAAGCCCTGCTCAGCCTTGGTAGATCTTGCGAAGCCCTGCGACGCCCACCGAAGCCCTGCTCCGCCCTTCGCAACCCTGATCTGCCATACTAAGCCCTACTAAGCCCTGCTAAGCCCTTGCCCCTGCGGGCCTTCGTCAGCCTTGCTCGGCCCCGCTAAGCCCTGGTACATTCTGCTTTGCCCTGGCAAGCGCTGCTAAGCCATAGGATTGCCTGGTGGGCCATGCTAGGTCCAGTGAAGCCCTGGTCCTGGAAAGCACTGCTAGGCACTGCGAAGCAATGCCTCGCCGTGCCATTGCCTGCCAAGCCTTGCTCCGCCCTGCTAGGGTCTGGTCTGCTTCGCCCTGCTAGGCCCTGCTAAGCTTGACCAGGCCGCGCTACGCCCTCCTGGGCCCCGTTAAGCATTCCTTACCACTGCCTGGTCACGCTGAGCATTGCTGTTCCCAGGTAAGGCTTGCGAAGCACTGCTAAGCCTGGGTCGGCCCAGCGGGGGCTTTTTGCGTTGTGCAGAGCCGTGCTCATCTCTGCTGAGTCAGATATTGCTCTACTAGTTGCGGCCGAGCTCTGTTCGGGCCTCCTGTGCCTTGATGGGCTCTGATAAGCCATGATCGGCCTATGCTATGGCATGCTGAGCCATGATCTGCCCTGCTACGCGTGGCCAAGCCCTCATGAGACATCTTAGGCCCTTCGAAGCTTCTATGGACACTGCCAAGCACTGGTAAGCCATGCTAACTCCTGTAAGGCATTGCTAAGAGGTGTTTCGCCCGGCTAAGCCTTGCTAGACAGTGGTAGGCTTTGCTCAGTCCTGCTAAGCCCTGATGTGCCCTGGTACATCCCGTTAAGCCCTGCTGAGGTCTGCTACGCTTCCAAGGCCATGCCAGGTCTTGCAAAGCCTTGCTGAACCTTGCTCGGTCCTCGCTACGACATGCGTCGCCCTGCCAAGCCATGCGAGCCCCCTGCTAAGCTCTGCCAGGCTCACATGTGCTCTGCCAGCCACTGATAGGGCATGTCAAGCCCTGCTCGGCTCTGTAGAGCTTTGCCAGGCCATGCGAGGCTGTCCAGAGCCTTTCTAGGGTCTGATCTGCCTTGTCAGGCCTGGCGAGGCCCTGCTGAGCCTTGCCAGGTCCTGCTGGGCCCTGCGGCGCCTTGCAGAGCTTTGTGAACTCTGCTTTTCTTCGAACAAATCTTTTGGGTCGTGCTGTGCGCTGGTCGGCCAGGCTAGGCTCTGCTAAGCCTTGGCCCTTGTTCAGCCCAACTACCATTTGCTATGGCCTGCTAATCTGGGATCGACGTGAGCTCCGGCACGCGTTGCTGGGCCCTGCTAAGGGCTGCAAAGACCTGCCGTGACATGGCCAGCCCTGCTGAGCCATGCTAAGTTCTGCTAAATCCTCCTAAGCCCCGGTGAGTTCTGCGCGGTCATAGCAGCCCCTGCAAAGCCCTGCCATGCCCCGCTAAGCACTGCGAAGCTCTGCGCACGCTTGCTAAGCCCTGCTAAGCCCTGCTAGGCCATCGTAAGCGCTCGCCCTGGTGCTTCCTGTTCAGCGGCGACGCCCCCATGGCCAGCTTGGCCTCGCTAAGACTGGCTGAGACATGCCAAGCCCTGGATAGCTCTGATAAGCAATGCTCAGCCCTGCTAAGACCAGCTGATGAGGTTTCCTGGGCCCTGCTCGCCCTTCCTAAACAGTGTAAGCTTCGCTATGCCCTGTCAGACATGCGCGCTCCAGGCGCGCGTGTTCTAGATGCCCAGTCGACGTTAGCCAAGGAGGACACTGACAGAGCGAGAGAGAGAGAGAGAGAGAGAGAGAGAGAGAGAGAGAAAAAAAGAAAGAAAGAGAGACAGACAGAGAAAAGAAGAGGGAGAATAATTGAGATACAGAGAGAGAGAGAGAGAGAGAGACAGTGAATCTATATAGACAGGATATAACTGTATATCTATATATGTAATATATATATAGAGAGAGAGAGAGAGAGAGAGAACAAAGAGAGAGAGAGAGAGAGATGGAGAGAGAGAGAGAGAGACAGAGGGAGAGAAAGGGAGAGAGAGAGAGAGAGAGAGAGAGAGAGAGAAGGAGAGAGAGAAATAGAGAGAGAGAGAGAATATATATATATATATATATATAGACAGGATATTCTGATATATATATATGGAGATAACAAAAAAGAGAGAGGGAGAGAGAGAAAGAGAGAGAGAGAGAGACAGAGGGGGGAGAGAGAGAGAGAGAGAGAGAGAGAGAGAGAGAGAGAGAGAGAGAGACAGAGAGACAGAGAGAAGGAGAGAGAGAGAGAGAAACAAAGAGAAAGAGAAAGAGATATAGAGAGAGAGAGGGGAGTTCAAGAGAGAGAGATGACATAACATAAGGACAATGATGAAGAGACAGGTAAAAGCTCGTGAATCTGTGCGGGAACCCGAGGGGCTTCAATCCGCTGGCCTCGAGGAGGGGGTGGTGGTGGTGGGTGGGGGGTGGGGGGGTGGGGGGTGGGGGGTGGGGGGGGAGGAAAAGCCGCGCGTCCCCGAGCCCGCCCCTTTCGCCGAGCATGGCGGCCGCGGCGGTGGCGAGCGCGGCCGGTGAAGATGTTGCGAGCCATGTCGGTGGCGACGCCTGCATCTCCCTACCCCTAGCCTCGCTGTGCGCTGCCCTTAGGGCGCGCGCGTCTCTGGGGGGGCATCCCGACTCCCAGTGCGGGCTCTGTCCCCCAGAGGGTGGGCGCGTGCAGATAGGTTCCCGCGCGCGTTCATCCCTTCCATAGGTGATCAGCCGTTCTTGCTTTGCCCTCTGGGCCATGTGGCCGTCGTTGGTAGTCTCGGTTGGAAGCTAAATTGGCGAATTTGCATGCGCGGGCAGGTCCCCGCCCTGAGTCGGTGGCAGCGCCCGCGTTTGCCAGCGCGACAATTCTACAGTGTTCCCAGCGCGGAAGAGATATGTCGATCTTGCCCCATTGGCGAGTTTTTTCCCGTTGTTCTGTATTCATCCATTGTACTTGCACTTTCTCTTTCCATCCGCTGCTTCTTCTCTCGCACTGTCCGTTGCACTTTTGTATGTTCGTGTCTTCACCTCTCCCCGCGCTCGTCTTGGAGCGGCGTCGTCAGACGTTGCCCCTGACTTGCAAGCAGGCTGCGCAGGCGAGCGGGTGAGGCCATGGCCCCTGCGCGCGAATCCGAGGTCCATGCAAATCTCGGCCACTGCCGTCGTCTCCGCCTGTATTCTCTAGCGCGTCCAGGTGCAGGTGCCCCGAGTCGCGAAGAGCAGCTCGTCCAGGGCGGGGGCCATGGGCATTCCTCATGATTTGTTTCGTGGATGATAGTTGTCCGTCGCTGTGCAGTTGGAGTCTGCGCAGTGTCCAGAAGTCAGGTTGCTCTTCTAGTTTCTCTTTTCGCTGAGGGTGCATTGGCGCGGATGTCTCTCGTCCCCCCCCGTCGCCCCCTTCTTCCCGAGACAGGTGGGGGGCCTCCTCGGGGGTGGGGTCGCGGCCCAGCAAACTGGCACCTCTCGCAACGTACTCTAAAACTATTGATGTTCGGGGTGGCCGGAGCCCGGCCCCCTTCGCTAAGAGCGGCCGGCTGGGCGGGGTCGGCGCGCCCCTGATCGCGAAGGGCAGCCCGTTGTGGGCGGGGGCCATGCCTCCCTCATCAGCCAATAGTGGGCGGAGTGGTATTACTTCCCCATGTCGCCTCGTGTGGTGGTGGTGGTGGTGGTGGGGGGGGGCGGTGCTTTCTGTGCTCCAGCTCCCGCTCGGGGCGCCTGGGCCCTGAGGGCCCCAGTCGTCGAGTTCGCGTCGTTTAACGTCGTCCCCGTAAATGGGCCTGTGCTTGCGCCCCCGGGTCGAATGGGGAGAGTTCTGCCTCCCCGCGGGTGCGCGTTGACATGCTCCTTCTTTCGCGCGCTTTCATAGTCCTGCTGTCTTTCTTGGTTGTTGTCGCCGGGTGCGCGTCGTGTTCTACTCCGAATGGAGCTGGCCAGCGACGGCCCGCCCCAGTGCCGCAGGACGTCGCGCGCGCGTCCCATTTATTTCTGCTGCCCACAGGTGTGCGCGTTGAAACTTCTCTGCGGCCGCCTCTCTTTGAATGCTCTCGCTGTGATGCTGCTTCTTCCTTTCGCCCCTACCGGGGCCTGTCATCTCCTGTGTGCTTCCGTCGCCTTGTGTCGCAAGGGGGGGTGTGAAGGTGTTGCAGGCCATGTCGGTGGTGGTGCCTTCATCTCCCTACCTCTAACCTCGCTCTGCGCTGCCGTCAAAGCGCGCGTCCCTGGAGGACGTCCCGACACCCGGAGCGGGCTCTGTCCCCCACGGGGTGCGCGCGTGCAGATGGGCTCTCGGGCGCGCTCATCCCTTCCACGCGGCCCGGCAGGCGCCCGCGATTGCCGGGGATATCAACGCCCAGTTCCTTTTCTCTCGGGCCCTTGCTCGGGGCCCCGCCGACTTCCGCATCGGCGCTCCTGCCGCGGTTTCCACCGCGCGCTGCGCGCAGCCCCGCCTGGCGCAGCCGCCTCCGCCGCGCGCGTGCCGATGCGCGCGTTCTTCCGCGCGTCGCCAGCGCGCGGGATCTCCTCGGCGCTTGCCGCGGCGCCCAACGACCACCTCGACTTGAGGCAGCCACCGTCGCGCCGAAGGCAGCGCTCAAGCCAGGGTCCAATTGGCAACCGCGATTACAGCCATCGCCCCAACCGCCAGCGCGATCCGAATTAGCCTTTGGTGCAGGACTCGCCAGGTCGAAGGAGGACAACCCTTACTGGGGCTGGAAGGACGACTTGGACAACGACTTTAAGGAGAAGAGCAGGATCAACAAGCTAGAGAAGGGGAGCACCGCAGGGACGACGACGAGAAAACTCCCACAAAGCACAACGCCATCGGTGACACCATCATCACCGACGTCCGCCATGGGAAAGAAAAGCACCGTTAAGCAGGAGGAGGGTGTGGAGGAGGAAGAGAAGCAGGAGGAGGAAGATGAGGAGGAGGAGGAGGAGGACATCGTGGATGATGCTGGTGATGGTGATGATGATGATGATGATGATGATGATGATGCTGATGATGATGATGATGATGATGATGATGATGATGATGATGATGATGATGATGATGATGATGATGATGATGATGCTGCTGCTGATGTTGATGATGATGATGATGATGATGATGATGTTGATGATGATGATGCTGATGACGTTGATGATGATGATGATGATGATGATGATGATGATGATGATGATGATGATGATGATGATGATGATGATGATGCTGGTGATGATGATGACGAGAATGGGGGAGGAGGAGGAGGAGCAGGAGGAGGAAGAAGATGAGGAGGAGGATAAGGAAGAGGAGGAGGATGAGGAGGAGGAGGGGGAGGAGTATGATGGGAGGAGATGAGGACGAGGAGGAGGAGGACGAAGAAAAGGAGGACGAGGACGAGGACGAGTACGAGGAGGCGAAGGACGAAGAGGAGGAGGAAATGGAGGATGATGAATATTCTGATGATGAGGAGGATGAGGATAAGATGCATAAGAGAACGAATCATAATAAACATACAAATGATATATAAGAATGGACATAATAATACTAATAGTACATGAATAGGAATGTAATCGTTAAGAACAATAATGATAATAACGACAATAATACGAATAAAAACAATAGTACGATTAATACGAGTACTAATTGTATTATAGAGCAGTGCTTTGAAGAATATGAGCAATACTCACAATGAAAGGAATCATTGCAATACGAAGAATAAGACCAATAAGGATCATCGTGATAATACTGTTAGCAATGTCGATAGTCATTATGTTAGTTCTAGTAATAATAAGCTAATACTGTTTATATTGATATGGGTACTACTCATCGAACTATCAATAAGAACAATAAGGAAAGGAGGAGGAGGAGGAGGAGGAGGAGGAGGAGGAGGAGGAAGAGGAGGAGGAGGAGGGGGAGGGGGGAGGAGGAGGAGGAGGAGGAGGAGGAGGAGGAGGTTTGTTCCTCGGCCCCGCAGCCCGGGCGGCCTGGAGCCGCGCGCCGGCTCGCCCTGCCGCCTTGGGGCGGCCCGCCGCGGCGGGAGGCGGGTGCTCGGCGGGCCCGCCGGCCGGGCTGCCGCCGTGGCCGCCGCCGCTTTGGTGGGTTCGGACGGCTCGGACCTTGCGGTTCGGAAGGAATTGTCCCAGCCATTTTGTGGTGTTGGGTCCACGTTTTGAAGGGACAGCGCCCCGCGTCTCACTTTTTCCTCCTCGCCTCCCCTCCTCCCTCCCTCCTCTGCCTTTACCCTCCGCATGCCCGTTCCCAAACCTCGGAAGTGTTCCTTCAGTTTGGAACCCCAGCGTTTTTCCTAGATGTAATCCTCTGGGGGTTGTTTTCGGATCACAGGACCATCGTACACGAATCCGGGATGGAAAGCTGCCCCTAGGGGCAGCGGTCGGGAGCCCTGGGGCCGCGGATAGGAAGAAACATCGTCGGACGTCTAGGTCTTCGTTTATTTCTGGCGGCTTTCCAGCGTCGGGGTGCTTTCCAGCAGCTGCGCCTCGCCGAGAGCGTTCTGGAGATGCCTGGAGCGTCCCGCATGGCTGCGGGAGGGCCGAGGTGTGACCAGAAAACCTGAACTCCGCTCTTTATGCAAGAACCACGACGGACGATTTACCCACCACACGCCACACGACATCGTGGGCTATATTCGAAGAGAGAGCCCGGCCGCCAGCCGTGCGCACTGCGGCCCACCAGGCCCAGAGAATCCGCAGCAGTCCCTCAGTGTCCCGTCTTGCCAGCCGTGGATACAGTCGGCCCTGACTAGTAGGTCGACCCCGTCAAATCAAGGGTACCCTTTGTGTCCTGAGCTTCGCGACCCATGCTTTCTTACTTACCTTCCTACACTGGGCGGCTTGAATAAGGAACACTTGCTTTTCAAAAGGGGCTCGGTTGTTCCTTAGGTTTGCATGCGTTTTTTTTCAGTTCTTTGTGCGTTATTTGTTATTTATCGTTCCTTGTGCGTTATTCCTTGGGATAAAAAGGGGCTTCGTTCCTTATTTATCGTTCATTAGGTCAGGCCGATGACTGTCTGGCAATGTGACCCTCGGAAGGGTCTTGTGTCCTCGTAAGATGGCCGCCGGGCCCAACTTACCCCTGGCGATCCCCGAGGATCCCGCCTCGCCAGCCCCGCATACCGCGGCCGCCAGGCCCAGGGAGTCCCCGGGTTGTCACCCAGGGAGGCGGCCCGCCGGCCCGCCGTCCAGGCGTCGCGGCGTCAAAGCGTCCGGGGGGGGGGAAGTATCGAGTTTCGCTTGGGTCAGGATTTAGATCGCATTGGCAACGTTACACTCGAGAGTGCGCATCAGATGATGTGAGCGCGTCAGTTGACCCCGAGAAAGTATTCAACCCCATTCAGAGCTTCATTTTGTCCGCAATCATCCTGGCCCGAACAGGAAGCGTCCACGGAGATCCAGAACAGACATCGAGAGCAACGTCGAGCGCGTACAGTGGGGGCGCGCATCCAGAGACCATCTGCTTTCCGTCGGGGTATCCTGGGTTTCTCCGCTCCGCGCGCTGCGCGGTGGCCTCCCGCAGCCAAGGAAGGAGCGGCTGCGTTCAGGGTGCTCCAGGTTTCCCCTCAGGTGCACCTCGCGCACGGGTTCTCTGGGTTGAGTTTCTTGCGAGGGTTTCTTGCCGCCGTGCCCGCACTGTATGTCATCGTCGTCGAGCCGCAGAGCTGTGGGCATCATCATCATCATCATCATCATCATCATCATCATCATCATCATCATCATCATCATCATCATCATCATCATCATCATCATCATCATCATCATCATCATCATCATCATCATATCATCATCATCAGCATCAGCATCAGCATCAGCATCAGCATCGTCAGCATCATCAGCATCAGCATCACCGTTACCATTCCAGTCTCCATCACCATCACCATCATATTCTCGAGTATGCACCAATGACATAGACCAATGCTATACACCAGCGACTTGTATCAATAACAGGCATCATGAAAGCACTACCAGATACATACGCCACGGTCACGCATGAAGGACACACGTCCAGAGCACATTCACAACGTACATCAACAACATACATCAAGGATACGTGCACAACAACAGTACACACCCATAGTGCAGTCATCAACCTCATACGCAAAATACATGAAACACATACACCAATAGATCACATCAGGAACACACATCAGTAACGCGCACGTGCGCCTTCTTGGAGCCCTCTTCGGGTGCTCCTGGGGCGCTCTTGGGGGTCGTCGGGGCTCGCTTGGGGTCCATCTGGGTTCCGCTTGGATCTAGACTGGGCGATCTTGGAATCATCTTGAGGCCCCAGAAGCCCATCGGACACGAAACGGTGATAACGCCGACGTCATTGAATCAACATTGCAGATATGTGAGGGTTCGGACATCTTTGGGTACCTTTTTGGGCCACCTTGGGGCTAGCATAGAACGTCCTGAATATCCTGAGGCAGTATTGGTAGCACCCGCGCTCTTGGGGGACTCTTGGGAGACTTTCGCCCGTTCTTCGCCTGCTCGTGAAGCCTCTTGGGGCTCTCTCGGTGATCTCTTGCGGGCCTCCGGGGGGGGGAAGTATAGAGTTTCGCTTGGGTCAGGATTTAGATCGCATTGGCAACGTTACACTCGAGAGTGCGCATCAGATGATGTGAGCGCGTCAGTTGACCCCGAGAAAGTATTCAACCCCATTCAGAGCTTCATTTTGTCCGCAATCATCCTGGCCCGAACAGGAAGCGTCCACGGAGATCCAGAACAGACATCGAGAGCAACGTCGAGCGCGTACAGTGGGGGCGCGCATCCAGAGACCATCTGCTTTCCGTCGGGGTATCCTGGGTTTCTCCGCTCCGCGCGCTGCGCGGTGGCCTCCCGCAGCCAAGGAAGGAGCGGCTGCGTTCAGGGTGCTCCAGGTTTCCCCTCAGGTGCACCTCGCGCACGGGTTCTCTGGGTTGAGTTTCTTGCGAGGGTTTCTTGCCGCCGTGCCCGCACTGTATGTCATCGTCGTCGAGCCGCAGAGCTGTGGGATCATCATCATCATCATCATCATCATCATCATCATCACCATCACCATCACCATCACCATCATCATCATCATCATCATCGTAGGCATAGGCATCAGCATCAGCATCAGCATCAGCATCAGCATCAGCATCGTCAGCATCATCAGCATCAGCATCACCGTTACCATTCCAGTCTCCATCACCATCACCATCATATTCTCGAGTATGCACCAATGACATAGACCAATGCTATACACCAGCGACTTGTATCAATAACAGGCATCATGAAAGCACTACCAGATACATACGCCACGGTCACGCATGAAGGACACACGTCCAGAGCACATTCACAACGTACATCAACAACATACATCAAGGATAGGAGTACACACCCATAGTGCAGTCATCAACCTCATACGCAAAATACATGAAACACATACACCAATAGATCACATCAGGAACACACATCAGTAACGCGCACGTGCGCCTTCTTGGAGCCCTCTTCGGGTGCTCCTGGGGCGCTCTTGGGGGTCGTCGGGGCTCGCTTGGGGTCCATCTGGGTTCCGCTTGGATCTAGACTGGGCGATCTTGGAATCATCTTGAGGCCCCAGAAGCCCATCGGACACGAAACGGTGATAACGCCGACGTCATTGAATCAACATTGCAGATATGTGAGGGTTCGGACATCTTTGGGTACCTTTTTGGGCCACCTTGGGGCTAGCATAGAACGTCCTGAATATCCTGAGGCAGTATTGGTAGCACCCGCGCTCTTGGGGGACTCTTGGGAGACTTTCGCCCGTTCTTCGCCTGCTCGTGAAGCCTCTTGGGGCTCTCTCGGTGATCTCTTGCGGGCCTCCGGGGGGGGGAAGTATAGAGTTTCGCTTGGGTCAGGATTTAGATCGCATTGGCAACGTTACACTCGAGAGTGCGCATCAGATGATGTGAGCGCGTCAGTTGACCCCGAGAAAGTATTCAACCCCATTCAGAGCTTCATTTTGTCCGCAATCATCCTGGCCCGAACAGGAAGCGTCCACGGAGATCCAGAACAGACATCGAGAGCAACGTCGAGCGCGTACAGTGGGGGCGCGCATCCAGAGACCATCTGCTTTCCGTCGGGGTATCCTGGGTTTCTCCGCTCCGCGCGCTGCGCGGTGGCCTCCCGCAGCCAAGGAAGGAGCGGCTGCGTTCAGGGTGCTCCAGGTTTCCCCTCAGGTGCACCTCGCGCACGGGTTCTCTGGGTTGAGTTTCTGCGAGGGTTTCTTGCCGCCGTGCCCGCACTGTATGTCATCGTCGTCGAGCCGCAGAGCTGTGGGATCATCATCATCATCATCATCATCATCATCATCATCATCACCATCACCATCACCATCACCATCACCATCATCATCATCATCATCATCATCATCATCATCATCATCATCATCATCATCATCATAGGCATAGGCATCAGCATCAGCATCAGCATCAGCATCAGCATCAGCATCGTCAGCATCATCAGCATCAGCATCACCGTTACCATTCCAGTCTCCATCACCATCACCATCATATTCTCGAGTATGCACCAATGACATAGACCAATGCTATACACCAGCGACTTGTATCAATAACAGGCATCATGAAAGCACTACCAGATACATACGCCACGGTCACGCATGAAGGACACACGTCCAGAGCACATTCACAACGTACATCAACAACATACATCAAGGATACGTGCACAACAAGAGTACACACCCATAGTGCAGTCATCAACCTCATACGCAAAATACATGAAACACATACACCAATAGATCACATCAGGAACACACATCAGTAACGCGCACGTGCGCCTTCTTGGAGCCCTCTTCGGGTGCTCCTGGGGCGCTCTTGGGGGTCGTCGGGGCTCGCTTGGGGTCCATCTGGTTCCGCTTGGATCTAGACTGGGCGATCTTGGAATCATCTTGAGGCCCCAGAAGCCCATCGGACACGAAACGGTGATAACGCCGACGTCATTGAATCAACATGCAGATATGTGAGGGTTCGGACATCTTTGGGTACCTTTTTGGGCCACCTTGGGG